CCCCAAAACCCCAAAACCCCATTTGTCAAAATTCAGTTAAAATTGCAATAAAAATAAAATATTAATCACTGCATCGCCAATAATAATTATCATTATATATCTTTTCAACAGCCTTTAAATTTGTTTTCAATCATTTTGTTCGATTCTAACTGTTTTCTTACTTTACGCTTCAAACTACTTTATCTCCTGTTCAATTTCATCCTCTTCATCCAGAATTCCTTTGAGAGGGTTCATGCTATCATTGCTGTTTTTCTGATAAGTGTTGCTTTAGATAATAAGCCTAAAATCTGAGTGTCTATCTGCCAGGGCTTCTGAGATTAAGTTTTCTCTGATAATCTCATCACTCTTCCCACTACTATCTCTGCTGTTGATTTTGTTGTATTCTGGAGGAGGTATTCTTGGGGACGGTGATTCCCTTGATTCTTCATTGATCTGCTCATATGAGGGATACTTGGCTGATATTGATGCACTTAACTTAATTGATGACATTTGCTTAGAAAAAGCTGATAGGTTGCGGGGAGGGTTTTGAGGGATGATTTAAGCTGAACCTGAAGAATTTTCATCTTGATCATCCTGCGTATTTATTCTTTCCATGTCTTCAATGATCTCATGCTGCCTCTAACTCTTAGCACTATTATTCTGTACAAATGCATCTAAATCTAAAGTTATAGACATGAAATCTTACACTAATCTACTTCCATAGTAGTCTTACTATGGTTGGCAAACTATGTAATTCCTGATTTAGTTTTTAAAATGCTCTTTGGAGTCTTCAAATATCTTTCACTTTCAAGTACTCTCTGACTATGAGGTATGTGTGTGACATTTTTAGGTGTCTATGATGATAAGAGACGTTATCTTTATGACAAGGGATCATAGATGAATCTAGTGCTGTTCAGATTAGGAGAGTCGCTGTTATCATTCTAAGAGTATTCGTCAACTAAATTTTGCATGTATTAGTTCTGATAATTATCATTGCTATTACTAGCTCTATCTTGGTCTTCATCTTCATCAACCTTGTAGTAATCTTCCATCTTTACAATTACGGGGTTCTTTGAGGGAGAACCTGCATCGGTCATAAAGCTATTTTTACCCAGTTGTTTACTTTACGTATTCTAGTCCAAGATATCGAGTAATTATTATTTTTCCTATTCCTTCTTCGATCTGTTCTTTAATTGTCTCCTCTTCTTCCAAATCTAATACTCCTAATCCTATTCCTGCTTAAGCTTTAGCTCTTACTTTTTCTTTTTATTGATTTTGAAGTTATCCATCATTTGCCTAATTGTGAATGATAGAATTATTACCCAATTCACTAGAATATACATTCCAATCAGTACAATCAAGAACCAACCATACTAATTGGCCTTATCTTCAGGGAGTGTCTCATCTAGAAAGACAAGAGAGAACAAATGTAGGAAGAATATGAGTAACTCACCAACTGCTGTTAGGATTATCATCACTTTGTCTTTCTGAGGTTTTACTAATACCACATAAATTATCATAATAACTGCTGTCATAGCCATAAAAATTGCTTGTTCTTTTGGTTTCTCTGCAAATAAAACTAAGGATATTGCGAATACAGCCCTTCTTAGCAAAAATACTGGATAATACATATATCTAATTGGATGGGAAAGATCAACTTCCTTTACAATGGTGTTATAAGACAGCATAAACTTAGGTGACTAGATTTTCTCGTAATTACGCTGTAAGATGTTCATCAATTAAATAGGTAGATAAGTCAATATTATACCAAAAGCAATAGCAGTAAAAGCAGATATCGTATTTTCTAAAGTTGTTAAATTCATCTTAAACAATCCAAGGACAAAAGCAAGATACATTGATACATAGGACATAATGACACCTCTCAAAAGCATAGTATATCTGAATTTCTGTTCAACCTTAATCCAAAGTTTGCAGTACTTGTGCTTGTCAGAGTATTTCTTTTTAAAATACCAAACAAATGGATATGCGACAATGATACCAGTCCACATGATAATCTTTCGCCCACTGAGATATAAGAAATTACTGATTTCCCATCCATATGCTTCAAATTTATCATTGAGAGCTGACTCTACTTAAATTGTTGAGCCAGGCCTGTTCATCAGTTTTTCATAAAGTAGATTTGGTATGAATTTCGATTCACCGTGAGTGCCAAGCATCTTTTAGAAGACTAGGATTGCAATCTAGGGATAATTTATATTGCAAAGAGGTAAGAGACTGACTAGCTGAATGGTATTTACCATCGTCCACATTGCTGAAATAGATCCACCAAAGACCAAAGATATACCAAGATTGATTCCCATTGCTGCAAAAGTAGCGACCATTGAGGAATCTCCTGCAGCATCAAGCTTTGCTTTTGTTTCTGGATCAATATACGAGTAAGCATTTAAGTAACCGTACATTGGATTGGTAACCATTCCATTTCCAGTCTGATCCTTATATATATCTGAAGATAGGAATTCTACTGTTACCTGCTCCTTACCATTTCCTTTTAGACTCTGATATATACTCAACTCTAGGGCGATAACTTAAACAGGCTCTTAAGTTTTGTAGTCTTCGCCTAATTTCCAATCAAATTTATAGGAACTTTGCTGTCCTGTTATAGATATTTTGACATTAGTAGAGTTAATTTCACTAGATAGAGTGACTTCTTCATCGAATTGGATGTAAATAAAATTTCTTGAGCTTATAAGAGACAGAGTAGGAGTAGGATTTTTATTGTCCATACAAATGCTAGGTGTAAACTTTGATCCTGTTGTGCAATTGAAACCTTTTTCAATAGTACAAGCTGAAGAACACCCATCGCCGTTTATAGAATTTCCGTCATCGCATTAAAAGCTACCATAATTAAAGCCATCTCCACAAATTTCTTAGCAACCAGATATTGTATCGTCTATGGGATACATCATTCCAGGCTGTTCAGAGCAGCTTAAGCATTGCTAATCTTTAAAATCATCTCTGGGAAAGCATGATAAGCAATCTAGTTTACTATGTCCTTAGCAGGTCTTACAAGATGAGTCACATTCAAAGCATGAAAGTGTCGGCCTTATTGATCTGTATTAAGTGTCTAAACAAGTAAAATAAGTACATTCTCCATTGTTTAATTAATAAGGACCGTAAATGCAAGAAGTACAGTATGTCTCAGAAATGCAAGATGCACACTTTGAGTTACATTTAATGCATTGTTTTTTATTTTCATCTGGATAGTACCCCTCTGGACACTAAGTGTAGCAAGTGTCATCTAAGTAGTAATAGCCTAGTAAGGTAACAGAGTTTTCATTACAAGAGTAGCATTAATTATCCTAAATTCCAAAGCAAGTAGCGCATTTGCTATCACAATTCATGCAAGTGCCATTTATAGTGAACTAGTTATCGTCGCAAGCTTTGACGCATTACGCTCCGTTTTGCAGAAATCCAGTTGCACATGTTAAACAGTTTGAGGGACCATTTCCTGAGCATGTTTCACAAGAATAATGACACATTAAACACTGGTTCGTTAAGCCATCTGCGTAATAGCCATCTAGGCAAGAGGTTTAACAAGTGTTACCAAGCCACTCAAGATACCATCCAGAATTACAAGACCCACAGTCAGTTATAAATTTTGAGTTGCAGGATGCACAAGCTTTATGGCAAGGCTGACAAACATTATGCGTATCTTGATAAAAGCCATTGTTGCATTTAGCCTAGCAGATTCCGCCTTATTAAACGAAATTAATATTAGAGCAAGTTAGGCAGTTTGTATCCAGTTTACCAGAGCATGTTGCACATGAAGCATGGCATGATTGGCAATTCATTAATGTGAAATCTGGAAATTAACCAGCTGAGCAAACATCAGTACAAGTGTTTCCATTTCTGAGTAAGTATTACGGCTAGCATTATTGGCACTATGTATTAAGTGGACCTGTACATTTAGTGCAATAAGGATGACATTTCACGCATAGTTTCTAACTTCCAAAGGTGAATATTACTTCAGAACTCATAAAGTATGACTAATTGGAGCCTTGTACGACCAATGGGTCATCGCATGAAGTTATACAATTTGAATTAGGGAAGAAAGCAGAAGTAGGTTTGCAGGAGGTACACTAAGAGTTTAGAGGCCCAAAACACTCAAGGCAGTTAGCATGACACAGTTCACATTTATCAGTTGTATTGTCGTAATATCTTCCTGAAATACAACTACAATTACCAAAAGCAGGAGAATAAACTGAAAATGATGTGGCAGGCTTTTTACTGCAGTATACACAATCATTTTTTGTAGGCCCTTTACAATGACCGCACAGTATATTGCACTAAGTACAGTTTTCCCCGAATTGATCTTCATTACACTTGCTTAAACATTTACCAGTGTCTGAAGGACAGACAGGGCATGAAGCTTAAGTTCCAATTGGTGAGCATGTTGAACTAACCATTGCCTAGACTTCATCTGAATGTCTAGCATAGCTGTATAACTTGTAGCTTTTATATATAAATGTTGCATAGTTATGAATTCTGTAGATTGAATCATCTGAGATGCTCAATGGCAGCCCTGTAGTCGAACCTTAATTGAATGAGGACACTTTATCTACTTGAGATCTAAGAGAGTAATATACCTAATTAGTATAAAGCTTTTACTGAGAGTAAGTGATCGATATAAAGTGCCAATTATTTGTAGAGAATAGACCAGGATACTGCTAGGTTGTAATAGAAATCGTTGGTGTTTAGAAAGTCATTTTTTAACTCGAATCTGAGACATAAAATAACAGTTGAGTAACACTCATTAGATTATTTAAAATCTGAATCGGAAGTGCGCCATATGGGTTTGCAGAGTAAGGAAACAAATCAAAGATTTTCCTAACCCAAATTTCTATAGTAAAAGCTGGGTATTTCGACAAAACAATTGGCTAAACCGCGTATATATTTTGAATGTTGTAAAACAAATACCCCTATCCATATATTCTAAATGGGTCTGAGTTGTCGTTATCATCAAGACTAGATTTTCTCAGGTCTCTTCCGTTTCCGCTTAAATCTGGGATATATTAGGTTATCTCGCTCTATGCATCGAAATCCCAATATGCTAAATAGATATCCTTAGGGTCTTTTGTTTCAACAGAACAATTTAGGCTAGTTATTTGAGCAGTGGGAAGTGGAATACCTACCACACAAAATAGACAAGGTGTCAGTGTACCTGTACACACTGGAAAAGGTGATCCATTTTATCTAAAGAAATATCTGTCGAACTAACTATCAGAATTAACATTAGCAAAACTCTTCCAAATGTAAAGTCTGCCCATTGTTCCAAAAGGACTGTAGTAAGTTTTCCTAAAGTTATTTGCAGATAAGCATACTCCACCTGCAAAACCATCAGTAGTTGTTTTCCAATAATCTATAAGAGAATGTAAATATAGCTTTAAAGTATTAAAATTAACCTTTGAATATGTAATCATCCACAGTGAATACCTAGTTATCTTAACCATTGAATGCTGATCTCGCTCTCAAAGCAATTTTTGCTTGAGTACCTGATGAAGAATCTAATGAATATCCAAATAGATACCAACCCTCACCTATAGTTATATTTTGTCGCATTGAGAATATGAATTATTTTGTCGTGTAGGGAGAATAGTATAATCTCATATATGTTTAAGCCTGTAGTGAAGTTTGCATTACTCCACTGATATTAGCCTATGTTAATCCAAAATAATGTATTAGGGCATTTGAGCTATCATATCTTGCTTAGCTGAAATAAGATTCAGTTCTGCTTAATGCTCTATAATCACTGAGCTTGACCCAGACTGCAATCATAAATTTATTTGTCAATTCTAAATCTATAGATCCCTGCATTCTTAAAAGGTCAGATTATCTGCTGTATTAGAGACCATCTGGTCCATTCATTGGATAAGTTTGTGTACCTGCATTGCATCCATTTTCAGCTAAAGATTAAAGAGTTAAAGTAACAGTAACTTTGAATAATTAATGTGAATTTACTCCAGTTGGCTAGATAAATATGGATACGAATACCAGTATGTAATTTATTTTGATATAAACTTACGAAGTTAAGCAAAAGAAACTTTATCATCTTTAGTTATTTGGTCGAACACATAATTCCTGCCATTAACATTCGTTACCTTGGTGAAATCAAAGTAGTGATCAGGTGTTGATGTCTAAGCAGTGGATTCTTGAAAAATAGAGCAAATAACTATCAGCACCAAGAAATTTAAAGTAGCTTTCATTTTACTTTTTAATTTAATACTTATTTATATTCAATTCGTAAATTAAGATAATATATTTATGCATTTATTATTCAATATGATTTTTCATTTTAATTAATTAAATAATTATCAAACACCTTAATTTATCTGTTCCTATGCCTCGTGGGGTTTTGGGGTTTTGGGGTTTTGGGG